TGCCGGGCGCGCGGAGCAGCAGCCCGGCCTGGGATGGACGCTGGAGCCGGGCGGGGCAGGTCAGTGCCGGGCCCGGGGGGTGGGCCACCTCTGCAGCCCCCTCCCGCCGCGGGGGGGGGAGCCCGGGCCCTTGTCCCGGGCCCGTGCGGGTGGCAGGGCCCAGGTGCTGTCCCTCGCGGCCCTTCCTGGTGCTCCTTGGGGAAAGGCTGGGGGCTGACCCTGCCTGGGCAAGGCAAGCGAGGATGGAGGGGGTGGCCCTGAGCAGGCTTCGCTTCCTCGTCCCTCCAGCCGCCACATCCTGGTGGGCCCCGAGACTTGGACAGCGGCTGCACGCGTCTGAGTTCAAAATTCCCAAATGACAGCCTTCGCTGGCGTGCACCGCGCGGGTTTGAAAGCCAGGTGGGTCCAGCGCAGTCACCTAACGTGACCCGCCGCCTAACACGGCTGGCAGGATTTCACCCTGGAATCCATGCGTGGAGTCCAATAACTTGTGGCTGGAATAAAGCATCCTTTTATTTTTTTCCGAAAGACATCCAGCCTCCAAAGGCTTGCGGTGTGGAAGGACCCATCCCGCCCCTTTGTCAGTTGTTTCTGCAGTTAGTTACCCTCAGCGTTAACAAACTGCTTGGTTTCCAAGTCTGATCTGGGTAGGATTCAGCATCCAGCCATTGGACCTTGGTATGCCACTGCTAGGGTAAGGAGCCTGCTGATGTCCTGAAGTCTCCAAGGTGGAGAAGTTTCCAAGTAAACAGTTAAGGGATCTAGGTGGTTCTTTGCTGAAAACCTTTCATCACTCATTGTTACTCCATTTGATTTGCACAATTCTGCCAGCTTTATTTTGCCATCCAACCAAAATGCACGTTTTGGGGCAATGTCTTCCTGTACTGCAAGGGTCAAGCAAACAGTTAATATTTGTACTGCAGGAGCACTAAAAGCCCCAGTCTTGGCTGGAGTATAACTGAGGGTAACAGGACCCCAGTCTTAACTCGGGCTTTTGGTGCTCCTGCGATACAAATATTGACTGTTACCTTTTAATTCTTGCAACTATTTCTGCAAATATAATATTCAAGCCATATAATCCCATCTTATTCAGGGAACCCCTTTTCAATATAGGAAATAAAACATTTTTATTTCCTCTTAAATGTCTCTGAAAAAAATTATCCCAGCATGAGACATGTTGTGGAGATTTTTCTCTCTTTTTAGGTGGGTGGCGGTGAGGGGAGGGACAGGCTTGTGGGGGTTTCAAAAACTGGGTTTATAATAGAGCTAATGCTTGCCATGCAATTGGTACCTCACGTCCTATGGAAAATTATTCCCTGCCTAATAGATTCTTCCTAATATTTGGTCCAGTTATCCTCAGGTTCTTGCCTATTATCTCCTGTCATGCCCCCTTGTTGCATGCTGAATTTCTTTCCTTCTGTGCTAAAGTTGTTCTTGCATGAGTAAGTAGATGGTCCCATCCCTTTGCCAGGAGGAGTTAGTTAAGTCTTTTAATCTCTCCCCATCTTAGTCCCTTCAAACCATGCGATTGCTCTTGTAGCCTTATGATTACCATGCCATTTTTTAGTTCTTCCATAGATATGTGATGCTTGTTTCGTGTATTCTGACTTGAATGTAATGATATAGTTGCTAGTACTGATTATATGGCCCTGAGGCTATACTGCCTTCTAGTTTGTCCGATACTCAGTACCTTAATGATGGCATTGTATGGATGATGCATCGGGATTATGCTGCAGGATGCAACAATTCTTGTAATAAATCTTGTTAATTTGGATGTCCTTTCATTGCTCAGGCAAATCTGTCCTTTTTACAAGTGTGTTTTTCATGGAGTGTGGCAATTCGATTCAGTTAACATCAGGATGTGGGTATTTCTTCTAGAGGTCTAAGGGTTTCCTCTACCTCTGTACGCTTGTCCACCCTTTTTCTGTGCTCCCCAGCCACTGTGTGGCAGTGACATTTCTTCTAGCCAAGAAAGACAGGATGAGAAACTCACCTTTTGCTCTCAGATTTCTATTCTGTAGCACCGGATGGGAGGGAGGAGGAAAGGGTCTTCCCCTGTTGAGATTTTAACTTATTCTTCCTTGTACTTGAAGGTTTACAACTTGTCACTTGACAGGTTTGCTTCAGCATTAAACATCACCCCAGGATTTTTATTTACTTATTTTTTGTGGCTGGCTGGCTCAGCCCAGCTACCTTGTTTGATACCAGCTTGTGCTGCCAAGTGTGGTTGTTCATGGCAGCACACGCTGCCTATTGTGTTCTTAGCCTTGGAGTTTGAAGTGTGTATTTTGGCAAGGCATGAAAAAGTCTTTTCAGAACTGTAGTATGTGAAAGTCCCTTGATGTGTGTTTGTTTGGGGTACGCACTGAAAGTAGAGAAGGCTGGACAGTGCAGGACATTGCTAGACATAAGTGGCTTTTTTTTCACTAGTGAGATGTGCTGGGTTTCTGGCTTTGCCAATGGCCTGTACAGGGATTGAAAGATTTCTTTCAGAAATGTCCTCTCTCCAGTGAAAATTTTCATTCGTCACCAGCTCCTCCCACAGTCCAACCTGAGCCCAGTTTAGCTGTAATAACACCTAGCACTTTGGTTGGGCTTTTCACCCAAGCCTCCTAAAGCACTGCAAATATTTGAGAAGCAGCATCCCTTTGAGGGAGATGGAGAGTCTCTGTTTTATATATGGAAAACCTAGAGCGCTGGGATGGTGCCCAAGGCCACACCTGGGAGGTGTCAGGCGTGGGGTAGAAGCCAAGAGTCCTGACTTCATAAGCCCCTGCTTTAACCCCCAGACTATGCTGTTTTCTGTTGGACATGGTATTTCAAGAGATCAGTTATTTCATTGTGAGCACATCAGTTAAACTGCAGCCACCAAAATCCTTCTGTCCAAGCTAAGCTCCTAGACCTGTCCAGACAACTTGCTTATTCTTCTTCGCTGTTGTCCTGGCTGCTTTAGCGTGCCCAAACTGTTTCCTCTTCTCTGCTGTCTAAGCCAGAGGTTGGCAACACATGGCCTGTATGTAGGCTGGATCTGGCCCACAGAGCCACTGGATGTGGTCTGTAGAGCCCGATGCTTGGCCTGTGCCTGCATCCATGGCAGGGCTAAGCAGCAAAGAGCTGCACCAAGGCTGGGCAACTTCCAGTGGTACCCTTGCTGCCACTGCTGCTTCCTCCTCAGCTCCCTAGCCTCCCCCTGGCAGTGATGCAGGCATAGCTTCCAGCTGGTGGGGAGCTGCCTTGGGACCAGGCAGCTGGAAGCTGCATCCATGCTGTTGCTGGCCCCCTATTCCCCCCAAGCTGTGCTGCAAACGTGGGAGCAGCATGTCACAGCTTCCAGCTGCCTGGCCCTGGCACAGTTTCCACCAGCTACAAGCTGTGCTTGCACCCCAGCTGGAAAGTGGGGGGCTGGGAGAAGCAGCAGGTGCAATGGAAAGCCACCGAAGCGACCAGGCCCACATCGGACTCAGAGCCGGGTTGTTCCGATCCGTGGTTTGAAAAGGTTGCTGCCGCTCCTCTAAGCCATTGATGGTGTTTCTAGTAAATGCAGCCAGCAAGCTTGCAGGATCTGCTCTTTTACCTGCACTTATCTATTAGTGTAAATGATAATGGATCACTTTTGGATCACTTGGCTAGCCTTCTTAATGGTACCTCAATGCGGTATTATTTCC